TGAATGTATGTATGTATGTATGCATGTTTGTATGTATATGTGAATGAATGTATGTATGTATGTATATGTGAATGAATGTATGAATGAATGTATGTATGTATGTATGTATGCATGTGTACATACGCAGAAAAGTTGGGTTTCGAGGAATCTCTTGTTTCATAATTGTTGAGCCTACTTCCATTTCGAGTGGAAGTGTTGGGTGAAGGGATTCGAATGTCGATTCCACCAGAAGACGACGACGGATTCCTTTTGACCAGCTGTCGATTGGCTTTACTGGAACATGCATACTGACGCTGCTTCGATTCCGGTGAAAAGGTGCTAAGCTTTCGTCCGTCGTACGATGAACAGCATCATCGTCACAACCAAATTGAAGCTGACGAGTCAAGAAATCGGTAGGGCCGAGCTCCGAATCTCTTCACGCAACACTTCCACTCGAAATGGAAGTAAGCTCAACAAACGTGCATGTGTATATCCGAGCTATGTATGTATGCATGTATGTACTCATTTGTGCAAGTTAGCAATTAAGTAAATCGAGTATGTGTGTGAGCAAGCATGTATGTAGTTACGCAAGTTATTAATTATGTAAGTGTGTATGTGTGCCAGCGAGTTGTAAGTATGTGCATGTGCATGTATGAAGGTTAGTGATTAAGTAAAAGGTGTGTATGCCAGCACCAAATAAATAAGTCTATGAGCAATTCAGTTGGAGAGTAAGTAAACAACTAAATGAGCTTTTACGTAAATATGCATGTAAGAAATTAAGTAAATAAATGAGGAAATAAGTAGGTTATTAAGTGAATAATTATTAATTAATCTACCAAGTAGGAAAATCATTATGCATGCATGTACCACCTACTCGCACTGAGCTCGAATCCTGTCGGTTGGGCCGAACAGGACTGTCCATTCTGGACCAATTCACAAATGTATAGTGCATTTTCTTATCACACTCGAAATCATTCTACCTTTATGTGATTGAATAAGTGTTGAACAGGAAAATTAACTTTAATTGATCTTGGCTTACTCATACTAACTCCAGTTCTGCTAGATTTTAGACCCACTCATTCACAACCTCATGAAAATGTGAATAAGAATTGTTGTATGAATGACGTCTGCTCTGCCGATGGGCCAAGATCGAGAATATTTTGAAAATTTTTGTACCGAAACCCCGAATCACATTAACCTCAATCATGGAGTCTTCAAACCTTTGTTTTGTGTACAACATCTTGGCCTCATGTGAAAAGGACAGACGAGTATGGCCCATTGAGATGGGCAGGAATAAACTCAGTGTTGAGCTGCATCATTTCACACTTTGCGTGACACAATCCGTCGGTCAGTCGGTATGATGAATCGCCAGCTGGTCGCTTGTTGTTGCACAACTCGTCCCCAATTGTTTGGCCCAGTCTGGTTGACTCGAGGCTATTCACAAAAGTCGGTCATGGATACCTCCGATCTGATCTTATCATCGTCACAGTGGAGCCGGGAATTGGCAAGTAGCTCGTCCAATTAGGAAATGCTTGCATGCTACAGATTCGTCTGGCATGAATGTGTGATTTGCGAGTCTCTGGGAGAAGACTTTTGGCAGATATTGAAGGACATTAGTCCAGCTTCACCTCGTCACACTTGCCTCGGCATCCGATTCACAGCCGATCGCACCTGACCTGATCTGACGTGATCTGACGT